ACCTGTGGCTATGGCGGTGATCGGAAAACACTTGAGTTCAATTATTTGGAGGGGTGCACTAATACTTTTGCCAATGTAGTAGTGTGTGCGTTCGTTCGTTCGTTCGTTTGTTCGTTCGTTCGTTCGTTCGTTCGTGTTCAAGAGGGCTGTTCATGGCCTGTGGATGAAGCAGGACGTCATGCGTTGGTGCTGTGAGGCTCTGAGGTGATTGTGGGGGTCACACTGGCTACGTGGCCTCGGTGAGGAGGAGTGTGCTTTGTGAGAAAGGCTTAGCCATGAGCCAAAGGGCAGGTTAGCACTGTTTAGGAGAGTAACGCAAAGACGAGCATGAAGGATGGGTGTAAGTGCAGTCAGTTTGTTAACAAAGTTAAAAGATAGCAATCATATCACAATCTAGCCCTTAAGCGCTTAACCCCCCAGAACAAAATGAATAAATGTAAATGAAATGGGATAAATTCAGGTTTTTCCACATTTTCATCAACTTCCAGGTGCTGTACAACATAACCCAAAGCAAATATTTGTTTTTAAGAGAAGAAATGAATTTCTTTCTTAAATATTGACTAAGAAAGTCAGTGATGTCCTAAGGGTAAAGGCGTCAGTGAAATAAAATATTAATGTTGACTTAATGATGAACATCTGAGAGCCATTAAGGGCAAAGTCAGTGTAAAGGAGTGTGGTGCTGGTGGACGGGACCCCATCTCCTGTCCAAAAAATCGTCAGAATGACTAACGGGTCTGGTTTTGTTATTCTGGCCTAAAATTTGGCATTTCAAAAATGAGTTTTTCAGTATGAGGTTTTTCTGAGAATGTGTTTTGATAATTCACCACTTTTATCATTGTGTCGTTCCTCATAAACCCCTCGGGGGTTCCTGAACATATCACACAGCTAGATAAGCCGATAGGTCTAAGGTCTGCCCCTTCAAGCTCACCTACACAGGTACCTGAAAGTCATTTGCCCCGGCTATAACACGTCTTAGCTCCGGGTCCGTGTGTAATCCCAGCCCTAACAGGAGTCACTTGACGATACGGCGTATTTCTGTGTCTGGACTTGAAGTGTGTAAGTGATCCACACGTGACACAAGAGAGCTTGAGCCGGACGAACGAAGGGGGGGACAGCAGCATGTGTCCTAATGCTCGGCTGTTCACGTTTCACAAGCAGTAAATATAGGCACAACAAATGCTAAGAAAAGCAAAGCTTCAGTTTGACTGCCAGTGCCTTGCATAAAGTATGTCTCTAGGTACTATAGCTTTACTGCAGGTACCATGTTCTGTGGTGTGATTTAGCCATTGTAGAGGGGTGCAGATACCATGTAATGTACTCATTAAACATCCTGTTCAGGGGGTAACAAAAAAGCAACATATTTAGCATTGTTTAGCTTCAAAGAGTGATGTTTCCTACATCACAGTTTATATTGGAATGATTTCCTGTCAGCTGTCCATTCGTCAAAAGGACTTGGTTAAAATGGTTAATTGCTTTCCTGGCATGTCTGTGTTTTTGTTGCTGAATTTCCCCATCGAGTGAAGAGCTTTACAGTGTGATGTGTACAACAGGGTCATTTATCATTCCTCTCCTGCACAGAGCTGCCACCTGGTGGCTGTTTTAATATCGCAATGTGACAGATTACTGCTAGCTATGAATGACATCTTCTGTGTCGGTCCGTCTCTTGCAGTCCCTCTTGTCCATTCGCCAAGATGACAAAGTCGTCTGCCCCAGAACCAAGGAGGTGTTCAGCTTCTCCCAGGCTGAGAAGGTGTACATCATGTGAGAGGGCAGGGCAGAGACACTTTGGAACACCTCGGGAGGGGGGGGGCGCCGGAGAGAGTCGTACAGTCCGGCCAGTCGGGCCACGACAGGAAACGGCCCCGGCTCCTCTCAGAGCCTGACAGCGACCTTCCTCGTCAGAAACGGCCAAGCCGCCTTTTCTGTCCTCCACCTCTAACTACCTTCACCCTGTGTTCAAACAGCCCATTATGGCAAAAAAAACAAGGAACTGGATGTTATGGATGGGGGACATTTTTTGGACGGGACTGTTGGGATTTCTACGACTATTAAAGGACTTTTGTTTTTAAAACAATGACATTTATTAAGCTAGTTTCATTACAGTAGCGTGTAGCGGGACTGCGTGTCACACGCGTGTCGTCTGGGGTTTTTCCACACCTCCTTTTGTCAGTGCGCTCTGACTGAAAGGTAATCTCATCGGTGTTAATACTTATATATATGCAGTCTGATACTGATATATAAGTACATGCTCAATAAATATAAACATTGAGTGAGAATCTGATTGATTTACAGGTTTTTTACATTTAGACTATGTTTCTGTGACTGGGACTAACACCAGTGTTGAAGCTGCATGTTTTTTTCCAAACCTCTGTCACCCCTCTCCTCCCTCCCCCAAGGAGATTGGTTGCCTCTGAGCTGGTAAAACATTTAGTATTGGAATTGTAGAGGACACTTTAGAAACTACTTATGCATGTTTATATTGGTAGAGTAGGAGATGGATTGTTCATGTACTATTGCTGATAAAGTTTAATAAAAAAAATTAAAAAAATCTGGCTTTTGAAATCTTTCAGTTCCTGTCTTCCAAGAATTAGTCCTTAAGACACAACCACAGCCACATTCACCATAACATTAAATGATGGCATGTAAATTGAGGTGAGTGTGCTAGACTTAATTAGCATGATTTGTCAACATGTCTGTTCAGCTTTGGGTATTTAATAGGAGTAACATGTAATATGTATGCATCTAGAAAGCAGGGAGGTTCTCATAAAGCAAATAACCGGTCATTTGTTGTGAAAGCTTGACCATGCTTAAAGGAAGAAAAAATTATGGTCTAGAATCAAAAGTACAGCAGCTATGCACAAACTGTGCTGTGCACTAAGTATGCCAGCACGCTGCTGTGGATCCATTTTGAGATGTAAGAGAGTGACCTCCCTGACCTGGGTTACATGGTCAGCATACTCTAGTGCAGCATTGTGGGGATCCTGGAGCTTGTGCCCTGCAGCGGGAAGACCCTGGGTGGGATGCACACAAGTATTCACTATGCACTATTTATTCATACGGACTGTGGTAAGAGACCAATGCAAAACCGGGAGAATATGCATGTTTTACATATTTTTGTGTGCGTTTCAAGTATTTGGAGAAAAAAGAAAATCTTAGGCCCTTATAAAACATGGAAGAAAAACAGTAAGTGGCATTATCCATGTAACGAATGTTCCAAATGACGAATGACCTGTGTAGAATCCCTGTAAAAATCCATATGATCTTAAGTAATTTTAAGAAGGACACTGAATTTTTGTACATCTATGTCAAAATCCCGGGTGACCAGATAATCCATGTCAGGGAGGACACTTTGAGCTAGGGCAGTATTTGTAAACAATCATTGCAATTACAAGGACCTTAATTTCACTTAAGCCAGGGGTGGCCAATCATATCTGCAAAGGGCCGGTGTGTATGCAGGTTTTTGGGATGACCTGTAGGTCAGCTGTTCAAACCCAGGTGTGAGGACTCTTCAGCCAATCATTCCTCTAATTAGGGAGTTGCAGCGGAAACCTACATACAGACCGGCCCTTTGCGGATAAGATTGGATTCTTGCCCTGTGCCGATTGCGCAGTCTCCTATAATCATGCATGTGTCACTAATGCTAATGTGAAACATCTGGATGAGTCTTCCAGTTAAGGAAGCCAGTCAACGCACAAGAAGAACTGAACTATTTAACTAAATGCAATGGCCTGTACAACAAAGCGGGGTTACTGGCTTATCAGGGTAACATCGGATTTAAGGTACTCTGGGCAAAATGTAAGTGAACAAATATGAAGTCAATTTAAACTGTGCTACCTTAAATCTGACAAGTTACCCTGATAAGCCAGTAACCCCACTTCGTAGTACAGGCCCCAGGAGCCTTTCGGTTTGTAAAACCTGACATGGATTATCTAGTCACCCTAAATCAGGTTGCATTATCACAGACCCAGGGCTGTCAAATTTTGAAGACAGGCAAGAGTGACATTCCACAGGATGACTTTTCATTGGTTGTTGTGTTGTATTTTACCCAGATACAATCGTACTATTTTCTGATTGGCTATTGTGTTGGCCCTTTCTTTTTTTTTGATTGGCTGGTAAGTGACAGGATCTTGGGGCAAATCTTGTCCGACTTCATAAAAGAGGCGTTTCCGACGGGAAGCGACGTTTTTCTTGACGTTTCGTGACGTTTTCATCCGAGTTCCGACTTGGAGAGAAATAATCGAATGCACCATAATGTCACTCAACTCAGAATTTCCGAGTTCCGAGAGAAAAACGAACGCACCATTAGACTCCAGCGGAGACACGCTTGTTTTATAGTGAGGCGCTACTGTGCCCTGGTCTGGGGAAAAATTGGGCTCTGCGGCATATTAGCCTACAAATTATTTTTCCGCGTGAGAAATACAATGTGTGGCGGGAGTGCGTGACAAAAGACTGAAAAGAGTGACTATCACTCTCAATGCGTGACACTTGAGAGCCCTGCAGACCCCTTTTCCACTCCACTAGTGCCAGTGCACCGGGGCTGGTGCTCGGCCGGTGCTGAAGTTGGGAACCAGCAAGAGCCTGCCTGCATTTCCACAGACTTGAGAGCCCAGTGGGAACCAGGTGACAACACTGCGCCCACGTCACAAACCACACCCACTTTCCTACATTATATATCTCGCCTCGGTTACTCCGCCCACATCTCATGACGACACGGGTGCTTCATCCAGAGTCCAGACCAGCAAAGGTTTGGTGCTGATTTTGCGGCACCGGCGCCTTTTTTTTTCTGTGGAAAAACGTGGCACTGGTTCCACATTGGGGCTCGGCACCGGAACAGCACCGGCACCTTTGCAGTGGAAAAGGGGTAACAGACATGCGGCAGCTGCACCTAGGGCATTGCTTGGGATCCCACACATGCAACGGCGAGTTCTGTTTAAGGGCAACTTAAGAATGTGGCACTTTTCTTTCTCGTTTATATACCGATGGTACCGGAAGGGAAGTTTCTGGACGGAAGTTTATAAAGTGTCACTCCTCCTTCCGGGGGCAAGTTTCAGAGCGGACGTGCATTTAACGTCATTTCCTTTTTTAGTCGGTCAGTAGTCTGTCAGTGGGCTGGTGTGGAGTGTTTTTAGGCGGAGGCTAGCGGATATGTGTCTGTGCGAGAAACGGACAATTTTTATATTTCAGGGACTTTGGGTTAGCCGAGGGTTGGTATGGCTTTTACCTTTATTTAATTTAAGTGTAAAGTGGGGAAAGTAACCACTGTTTTCTTTTGTTGTGGACACTATCAGCTGTACCGTATCTGTACCCTGGACGCTTGGAGCAGCTTGGTGTTTTCATGGCACGCCTTTCCATAGCATCTTAACGAACCGGCTTTCCACATAACCGAGTGGACAGTTCGCCCTGAAAAGTACCGATGGTGGTGTGAGCCTTCCTAAGTTCCTACAGCCGGGGACTGTGCGCCGGCTGCTGGTCTGAGTCGCTGCCCGGTCTGTCATTCGGCATTACGGGTATGCTGTCCGCCTCTAAAATAAACTGCTATGCACCATTATATACTCACCCCCATCCACATTTTTGTCCATATCGGAACAGAACAGGAATAACTAGTATGGTTTCTCTGACCGCCACGCCTTATAGGTTTATATGCGTTCAGAAAGTATATTAGTTGTAGAATTGCTTCTTTGAACAGACTTTAGTAGGTATTCTATTCTACCTGTTCCTGATATCATTTACCTGAGGTTTATCCCGCTGTCCATGTCATAGCGGAGATAGGTGTCTAATTGTGTGTACACTGAAGTGCATGTGTAAATACAAGGAGTGCCGTGATTAAACTTTTACATCGTTTTAGGAAGGACCTTTGCCTTTACTGTGACTTTACCTATTTCCTTTATCTATACGTTACACCCGTAACCTAGTGTACTGTATGTGAAACGTTCAGACAATCTGAAAACCACCTCGTAACGGTAATAAAACTGAGCTATGAAGACATTTTGTGTCAGGTCTTTCAGATGTGGACCGTTATATTGCCAGTTCTTTTTTTTAGCATTCGGCGTCAGTGAATGGCTAACATTATAATTTCATTTTAAATTTAAATCAGTTTAAGCCAAGTGTACCTAAAGGCCTTTCCCAGTTTTCCAAAATGTGTTAAACCAGATTGTAGTTGGTAATACTGGATTTAACCTTGTACATGGATCTTCCAGAACTGTTTGTCAAATACAGACGGTGGGATTTTATGTTTATTATCTCTAATTTTATGTTATGTCTATGATTGCTTATCAAATGACAGGTTAATCTAAACAAAAATGTCCATGTTTGTGTTGTTAGTTGTAAAAAGACAAGTGTTCTATTAGCTGTAATAAGTGCAACAGTCTAAAAATTTGGTTTAACATAATTCAAATCTTGGTAAGGAGTTGTCAAGTAGCTTATGAATCAGGCGATTTGATGTGTGATGTGAGACTGAGGTAAACGGTAATCAGTTGTTCTGGCAGTTTGAGGCAGGTTCATATTTCTCGGCATTGCACATCTCTCCTCCCCTTTCCCCTCCTGTCTGTCTCAGAGATGGACCACGCCCAGAGAGAAAGGCTGTCGGCGCTTGTGGAGGAGCTCACCACGTCCGGCCAGCCGCAGCTCGACCAGTCCAAGATGAAGGATGTGAAGAAGATCTGCAAGTAGGGAATCGTTCATCTGTTCTCCTTAGATCATTTATCTGTTACGGCTTTGCTTTCCAGCATCGAGTGAAAGCAGTTCAGTTCAGCTCTGTCCCTGTCATTCTGACTTAAATGAGCATTGACTCTAGGCAGTTCTAAGAGACCTGTTGGCTTATACATAAAATTACAGATCTCTGATTTGGGCACCACAATGTCTGTCACCTCACACCTCCAGCATTGGGGCTTTGAATCCTGTGCCCTGGTCTCTGTGTGCAGTTTTTCTCCATGTGTTGTGCTCATTTTCTTCAAAGACCTGTGTTTAGACTAACTGACATCCATAAAAATAACCCATTGTGAGTGTATGTGCTCTGAGATGCGGTGGTATTTCATACAGCGTTTACCTGAGACCCCTCCGTAACCTTGACCGGGAGGAGCAGTTTAAAAAAAAAGGATGCATTTAAAAAAAATATTAATTTGTTGGGAGCTGTATGACTTAATGCAGAGCCCAGAAGATGTAGAGTTAATGTGTGATGTGTCGGGAATCCCTGCTTTGGATTCTGATTCTAATTCTGCTCTGTGAGTTGCTGCATCTCTGCTTGGCTTGCCCAGAATGTAACCCACGGATTCCTCGTTTCAGGGCTTCTAGCGACTATGTGGAACACTTCTATAACCTGCTGATGAGCCGTCTGGCGGAGGAGCACGCTGAAGTGCGCCTCTCCGCCCTGCAGATGGCCGGCGAGCTCTTCTCCCGCTCCCACCACTTCCGCACCCTTTTGGTCTCCAGCCTGCAGGAGTTCCTGGAGCTGACAGTGGAGACGGACCCCGAGCAGCCACTGCCCCCGCCCAAGGAGGCGGCACGGCGCCTTAAGACGCTGGCCATCCGCACGGTGCAGGACTGGCAGGCCGCCTACGGGCAGGCCTACAAGAAGCTTGCCCTGGGATATCACTTCCTGAAGCAGGTGAAGAAGGTACGGCAGGCCAACAGCTTCCTGCGTTTTCGCGCTTTACAGGCCACCTTTAATTAATCCAGCATGCAGCGTGTGCCCTGCCGAAGACCAGTGCCATTAGTCCAGTGTTAAGCATTTCCTGTTTGTTCAGGTTAGAAATCAGTGCAGTATATGACTGCAGTTGAATCTGATATGAAAGAATTTAGTAGAATTTGTAGATCCATGGTAAAACCATTATGGAACAGAGCAGAGCTCTATTAATGTTTTACGATGGTGTTTTACAGACTCTGTTTCTGCTTTTTCGGCCCAACAGATGCCAGGTGTTTAGGGTTTTTCTAGTGATGCTTTACTTAGTCAGTCCTGCTTCTGCTGTTACCAAAGAGCTGCATTTGCAGGTTTTAATGTGTTCAATAACAGTATTTACTAACAGTAAATTTGTATTGGTGATCATTTCAGTTAAATTTAATATTAAACTGCTTTTCTTACACAATGTACAGATAAAAAGTTTGAGATGTTTTTTCTGTCTTCGGCGAAAAGCAGCATTCCGCAGCAGTTCAAGTGAATAATTGATCATTCTTGATTGAGCTAAATACGTAGATGCCTGTTTTCTGAGAGGGGAAGACAGCAGCAGTTCAGGGGACCGTGTTTTATTGCGCCCTTAGCACGGGGGCTCTCTCTCCTGTAACCACTGATAGATGCGACATCGACGCTTTCTAACAAGTTACGGAGCCTCACGAGCGCGTCGGCGCCCCCTCCTGCTGATGCTGCTCTCATCCTTCTCCCAACTCCCAGGTGGACTTCCAGGACGTCCAGGCCAGGACACTGGCAGAGAGGAAGCGACAGGAGGAGAAACAGAAAAGGCTGGAGAGGATTTATAAAGACAAAGTGACCAAGGCCACCACGGAAATGGAAGGCATGGCTGTGTCTGAGCTTCTGCATGTAGTGACCAGTGTTGTTGGACACTTTAAATGCGCTACCTTTAAATCTGTCCCTCTTCAAATGTGTCCTCCTTAAAATATGCTCCCTCTAAATGTGGCCTTTACCTTAAGAATTTTATCTTAAACACACTTTACAGACTCCAGTATAATGTTTTTACTATCTGTCCACCCATTTTTTATAATCAAGAATAGAATTAACACCCAGTATAATCTGCAGAACTGTTTATCCAATCAGGTTGGAGTATCCCAGTGCCTTTTCCTGGTAGCGTACCATAGGCCCAGCTCTGCTCCTGACAGCCAATCCTCTTCACAGAGACCTCGGCTGAGATACAGGAGTGCCTGACTGAGATGGACAGCTGCCTCAAGCTCCTCATGCCTCACCCCCTGGAATTTAGCCTTAGCGACCTGGAAGCCACACCCACTGCCCCCATGCATTGTGGGAAATCCGCTTCCCCTGCCGCCGATGACGAGCAGCCGTGCTGCAGCAAAGACCTGAATGACAGAGGAGAAAGGGTGGAGGAAGAGGGGAGCAGTGAGGAGGGGTCTGACGCGGAGGACATCCCAGACGAGGACATGTTCATTCGGCAGACTGGCCTGATGTCACACAAATACAGCCTCAGCTTGAACCTCTCCACAGGTAGGTGTCTGAAGAGATTTTCATTCTACTCTAACCATGTCTGAAAGTCAGATAAATGTATTTCTGCGTTCTGCTGTAAAGTATAAACACTCGTTAGGTAGCAAGAAGAGTGTTTAAGTGGACGTGTGTGTGTGTGTCTGCCTGTCTGCCTCTTCCTGTCTGCCTCTTCCTGTCTGCCTCTTCCTGTCTGCCTCTGCCTGTCTGCCTCTGCCTGTCTGCCTGTCTGCCTCTGCCTGTCTGCCTCTGCCTGTCTGCCTCTGCCTGTCTGCCTCCCTCCCTCCTACAAAGGACTTGCATCCCGTCCAGCCTCTTCTCTGCCTCATGTCCATTACTGTGACACTGTACTGCGCTGGAAATCCATCCATTTTTAGAGTGCAGTTTCCACATCATCTCTGTGATTTTGAGTGTAAGAAATAATGATGCTGAAATGTTTGATCTGCGACGTTATAAATACCCAACCAGAGTAAAACTAGCTGGTCTCTGCTTGTATTCTTCGCTGCTGCCCATGAAGAGAAGGGGGCCTCGTGGGGGTGTCACGGCTTCTCCTCTGTCAGCAGACATGAGCTTGAAGGAGACGGAGGAGAATGAGGCTGTGGTGAACACAGTCAGGGACCTGAACAGAGTCATCAGCACCAAGCACCTGCCCGCCGTGCGATCCTGGGTGCAGGTGTGTGCTAAAGGCGGCCATAACGTGTATGTTATGTGTAACGTGTAATGTGTGAAAAGGGCTTTATACATATTTAGGTAGTGTAGGGGTAGGGATGTGTATCCTGGAATGTCGTGGGTTGATAATCACATCACTGTTGAGCCCTTGAGTAAAGTCCTTACTGGTAAATGAATGGGCATGTGTGTATTATTTATGTGATATGCGTGTGAGAATTAACTTGTGTGTGTGTGTGTGTGTGTGTGTGTGCGCGTCCAGGTGTTCACCAAGGCCGGGGTAGATCAGCAGCTGCTGAGCAGGGCCATCACGTGTAAGAGTGCCCTGGAGGAGGCGCTGCAGAGACACGAAGAGCTGCACATCCACTACAAGAAGAGAGAGCGCAGAGTGGTGAGTGCCCTCTGCAGGCCAAAGGGGGTGGGACAGGGTGGTCAGGGAGATCTGTGGACCGACAGAAGAACAGCCAGTGAAGTCTATGGTCTAAATGCAGTGTGTAAAGTATGTCATGGTAAAGTAGGAGTACAGTCAAAATCATACCTGTCGGTACAGTCTGTGTTCCAGAGCGCAACAGCCAATACAACACATTTGTGTGCAAATTACAGTGCATGTACATATAAATACAGTGCTTCAAAAAAAAAAAGCTTGGTGTCCCTCTGACAGCAGGGGGCGCCGTTTCCCACAGTATTACAGCAGACATTCCTTAACTCGCTTCATAGATTGAAATGATTTCACGTGTCCAGGGAGGGCACAGATATTCTGATGGGCGGAGCAGAGCAACTTAAAAACTAACACAGGGTAGTTCCCAGAAATCCATTTTAAGCAGTGCACATAATATTAATTTTGAAAGATAAATATTATTTGAAGTTTTTGAATGTGTATGCCTTCACATAACAATAATAGTAATAATAATATATAATTGTTTGTATTATTTGTATTATTATTAGTATGGTTTCCCCAGTCTGTCTTTCGGGCCCTAAATATACATGTGGCCTCCCTCTATGATTAATGAGTAACGCTTAGTTTGCCATTAAACTAAACAGGGTGAAATTAACGGAGCGGAATCTGCAATCGTGGTTATATTACCAATTTAACTCGTGCAGCATTCAAACACACAAACACACACACTTATGTCAACACCTTGGTTTTGTGGACAGTGTAAATATTGTGCCGCAGGCACAGAGTGGATTTTGGGGAGAAATCTGTTATTTCCAAAACTCTCCAAGTAACAGTTTTTATTTAAATTCCGGTCTGTCCATGTTTTTCAGATGATTTTACTTTAACCGTGTTACTCAGAAATCTGTGTTACCTATACAGTTAAAGGACAGACTTTTAAGAAATAAGCTAATGGAAAAAGAGGGGTGTAGCTTCTGTTGATGAAGCCCAGCTCAGAGGGTTAGGAAACTGTGTCTGTGATCAGAAGGTCGCTGGTTCAAGTTCCAGGTTTGGCAGAGAGATGTCACTGTTGGGCCCCTCAACAAGGCCCTTAAACCCCAGCTGTCTGACCCTGCATCCTCTCAAAAATATATGGCACTTTGGATAAAGGTGTTCGCTAAATGTGTAAAATGTATATCAAGAATGGCCGCCGTCAAGATTTCGAGAGGTGTCCTGTACAGCAAAATGCCTTTAGTCAAGTAAACGTTTGCACAGGGCGTAATGACAGTTTAATTTGGTTCTGGCTCAGGTGGAGTGACCGACCGGTAAGGCATTAGCAGGGAGTGAGAGAGGCGGAGAGGGAGAGGGAGGAATAAGACAGAGAAGTTCTGAGATGTAATTATGTGCCCTCATATCCTGCTGTAAGTGCCGGAGACACTTTCTTTGAGGCCCTGGAGCTCGGTGACAATGACAAAGCGGCCCTCAGTCCCACATACGGCTCTGTCACTGTCAGCCCCATTTCCAATGCAAAAAAGCCTTTGCTTTGTGATAAAGAAACAGCTTAAAGTCCTTTATCATAATTAGTTTTTCCCTTTCTCCCTTAAAAGCATTCCATTACTTTATTCGCGTTATCGCCGCCCTGACACGGACGGAATTGGTTTTCGGACGCAACAAACTTACGTTGATTGGAAGGAGGGGGAAAATTGAGATGAAAAATCAGAACGGTAAAAATGATAATTCCCGCCAAACTTCTGTGTGCCCCGGCCAGCCGTGCAGATTATCCTCCAAGTCCGCTCGTCCCCCCGTGGTAGGACAGCAGAATACCCAAAGCAGACGGCTTGGGGAAAGAGCCACAGGGAAAATTAAAAATGAGTAAATTAGACTGATTTGAGTCATATTAGTATTGTTCTGTGGTATCATCATGTCTGTATCACAACCCCATTATAAATCTGAAATTATGTTTGTGCACTATGTCGTTGCATTTCAAAAATAGCTATAAATATCCTTTGGGTTTATGTTTACGTATGTATACAGGGTGGTACGACATACAGTGGTTAGCACTGTGGCCTCACACCTCTAGGACCATGGTTCGGCTCTCCATCCCGACTCCTTGTGTGTGGAGTTTGCATTTTCCCCCCGTGTTGCCGTGGCTTTTCCTCCGGGTGCTCCTGCTTCCCTCCACAGCCCAACCCAAAACCCAACCCAAAATCATGCTGAGGTGGATTGGAGTTACCAAATTGCCCGTAGGTGTGCAGGTGTGAGTGAATGGTGTGCGAGTGTGCCCTACGATGGGGTGACGTCCCATTCTGGGTTATTCTCAGCCTTGCTTCTGTGATAGGCTCCCCCCCCGAATTTGCACAGGACAAGCAGGTATGGAGAATGAATGATGGATGGTAAACATGCTTGCATTTGCTGAAGCTCTTGAACAATATTCAGTTAAATATCCACAGGGAGTAGAGAGCAGCAGTTTTAACCATGTCCTCTCCGCATGGACACGTCCCCCCCCCCACCCCCTGTCACCCATGTGACACTCCCGGTGACATTGTGGGGTCTTGCCGTACAGGGCCGCCCGCTGCGTTCCATCCTTGGAGGCTGAGTGCCGGATAACGCCCAATGCCGGCTCCGTTCGCCTCAGGAACGCTCTGCGGATATTATCTTATCCACATTAATTACAGGTCACTGAAGGTTCTTGTAACGGATGAGAGAAGAGCAGAGGATCTGTAACACATTAACTCCCAAAAAAGGGGGCCTCATCGAGCATGCAGCATGGGGGAATATTGTATTGTTTACCCAGATAAAGCATCTTATCAGTGTGCTAGAAAGAGCAATTATTGATGTTGCTGTGTATGTGTGTGTGTGTGTGTGTGTGTGTGTGTGTGTGTGTTTCTCCTTTGTCTCTCACTGGAAAGCCCCCAGTGCCTCACTCTTTATCTGCTTGCCTGTTCCTCCACCTCGGAGAGCGATTGGGGGTGGGGGGTGGTTATTGTATCTGTGCCCGGGTCCTGCGCACATACCTCCATGTGCGCTGGGGGAGACGGGAAATGAGATCCCTCCTGTTCTCAGGTACCGGATGGGGTCAGACTGCAGGGGTTGTGGTGCAAAATTGTGACCTATAGTTTGGCAGATCAGAGAGGAGGGGGGTCCGGAGCCTGTCCTGGGCAGCACGGGGAACTAAGCTGGGCTGCACCCTGGTTGTAAGGGTTTAGGAGGATGGATAGATGGATGGATGGATTCAGCTGTCACCAGCTGAATAATATCCCAAATATCCACTCGGATTTCCAAACACACAATTTGTGTTGAGCTTTCCTCTTTTTATATGCCATGCTTAAAATTGAGCATCAATATTAGAAGAATTCGTCACATCCTGTATTGTTGCAGTAGAGAATAATTTAAAATTGTCATTTTAATGTTTTAAAAGGTATGGTTTCTCCTGGCGGTTTGATTGGAAAAATAAATGTGTGTGTGTGTGTGTGTGTGTTTGTATGTGTGTATGTATGTATGTGTGTTTTATAAAAGGTGCACGTGACAAAAATCATGCTACAGCCCCCAGCCCCCATCTGCTGGCTAGGTAGGCTTCCTGAGGCCGGGGCCCGGGGCCCGGGGCCCTAGCTGTAGCGAGCCAAAATAATCTGTATGAGCGATTTTGTAAATGTAGACATTTTTATTCTTTGCTGCTCTGCAGGTGCCTTGGTTGGTTTTAACTCCAGAGTGCAGCTGAATGTTTGTTTGGTTTTAGTTATTTTTCTTTTCTCTTTTTTTTTTTTACATGCCTTTATGTGGCTAGAGACCCAAACATAGTAAAGCTTTTACATGTAAGTCCTGTAAACAGTATTCAGAGGAAAAGGTGCTTTGTTCCCCTTTATTTAATCTCCCTCAGTCTGAATTACGTAGAATATCACCGAAATGTATTAAAAACATTACAACTTTGCTTATACTGATCTTTTTTTTTTTTTTTTTAACCCCTATTAGCTTCACTCCTGCCCTCTGTCCCTAAATTGCAATGTGTGAATGGACCATTATCTACTGGTAATTTTTGTCATGTTTGCCCAGTTTAGCTTGTTTTGTGGCTATAGAATGATAATTGATTTTGATCACTGGCCCCTTACGGACATACAAACACACAATGTCAGCATATTTTGAGAGGTGGGTGCTTTACTATACATGTTAAAGGCATATTTTGCCTGACAGCCATTATAAAGCATGTTAGAATCATATTATTTCTAATTCATTATTTTGATTGGGAAGTGGAGGACCAGTGCTTGAGAGTTTTAAAACGATGCATAAAGGAAAGAGGTATTCAGTAAAAGTTTGCAAAGTTACGGTTGCCTGATTTATATTCACACACACACACACACAATTCAGGCCACACGGTGCTGAAATAGTGTCTGATGTACAGCGTCTGTCAGATTATTGAAGTTGGTGTGTATAGCACTTAGTATTTTGTGTACTTCAAAATAGTTTGTATAGGTAGGGCCCCAAAAATGTCTAGCTCGGAGCTCCACTCTCCTTAATCCGGCCCTGGGTAAGACCTCGCTTTCATTGCCTTTATTTCCATGAGTGATCTTCAGCTGTTGCTCCCCAGAATACAGCCAACCCCTATCTGAAGTATATAAGTTATTCATGAATCGCTTGTGTAAAGTAATTTCTTTCAACCCGGCGTAATCACAGTGTTGGCTTTAGCTAGCTGCATTGTGCCGGGCCTTTCAGCGTTAACCCCTCTGTTGGTAAATTTAAATGAAAGCGATCAGCGATGCAGGTTTCTGCGGCAGCATCATAAAGGATCGGGCATCGGGGCCACGCGCTTTCGCCGCACTTTGCTCATTATGGGATGTTTTTTGTAAATTTATGCACATTGCGGCCAGTTGCGACGGGAGATTCTCCGCTGCGCTGTGTAATACTGCAGGGAGGGCACTACACCCCCCCCCCCCCCCCCCACCCGTGCCTCGCCGCCCCACATGGGCGGCACACAGAGCTGCATCACCGTGCCTGAGTTATTGGTTTTGCTGTAATAATTTGCA